TGTGTGTGTGTGTGTGTGTGTGTGTGTGTGTGTGTGTGTGTGTGTGTTGGGATGCGTGCCGTGTGTGTATTTGTTTGCGTTTGTGGTATTTGAATAATGGCTTCTGCAGAGCTCGACTAATAAACAGATGCAAACCTGTTTCTGTTTCTCCTCGTCCTCTTGTTGTGTACTCCCTCTCTTTCAGAGCTTTGTGTGTTTTGTTGACTGAAACACTGATGAAGTGATGTTGCTGATTAGTTGTGATTTGTTTGAAGTGTATAATTTTGACTCTTGTGTCTGTGTCTGACAATTATATACTAGCTCAAATGTTTCACCTCTTCTCTGTCCTCTGTTATTTCCTGTTGATCAAATCCTGAGGAGGAGGCGACATGTCATGTTTGTTGTCTTTCTTCTGTCTGTTGTTTCCTTTCTCATCTTTTCCATCAGTCTGTCATTTGCTGTGTTCCGCCGTCTCCCCCGGCCCTCCCTTTGAGACAACGGTCTATTCTTCTCTCTCTTCATGGGAGCCCGGTGCCCTCTTCCTCGTCTTTTCTCTGCTTTCTAAACAACGCCATTTATTTCCTTCTCTTTCTCTGCAGCGGTCCCTCCAGACCACTAGTGCTCTCTGTCTGGGCCTGCGGCCTCGGCCACTTACCCCCTTCGGTTCCTGTTCATATTATCTCTCCTTCTCTTTCTGTATTTCTTCAACTCCCATTCCCTTCTTCACTTTGTTTTCCTCTCTGGCTGATTGGTAGTCTCTCTCTCCCGACAGACCTCGCTGTGGCTTTATAGCCTCTGTGTGGTCATGCATCAGTGACCCCCATCCCTGTCTGACATCTCCCTTTTTGTCTTTCTTTTCTTTGCTCTGCTCTCTTGCAATTCCCCTCATATACTGCATGTGGTGGGTGTTTTTCCTCCCTCACTCCTCAATTAAAGGTTAAAATTTCCTTTTTTCTCTCCAGACCTTTAAGAGCCTGCGTTGCACAGCACCATCTTCTCTCTTTTTCTGTGCCATGTTTCAATGGTCCTGTTTTCCATTTCCTCGTCTCTTTCTGTGTTCTCTGTCTCCTCTTCGTCAGCTGCATCTCATTTTCCTCTCCCGATCCTTCCCTCCCTCACCCCCCCCCCCTCCTCTCTCTCTTCTTTCTCTCTCTCTCTCTCTCTCTCTCTCTCTCTCTCCGGCTCCATAAAGACCACCCAGAGATGGAGGCAACGTCTCGGTGCAGATAGTCTTACTCTTTTAGCTGTTTCAGAAAAAAATATCTGAATTCCCTGCTGGGCTTTCCCCTCCCTTCTGTCTCTTCTGTCTTTTCTCTCTGACCATTTTATACAGTATTGTTTATTTATTGTACTGTCCCAGTCTTTCAGTCGTCCGTTCCTTAAAGAGGTAGAAGCCCTCCTCAGCATTTTATATTATCATGTAATATAGCAACTTTGCTAAATAATATGGCTTTTCAAATAACGTATGCGTGACATCAATAGCTTGTTTAATGACAGATATTGGCGTTATGTTTGAAAACACGTTATATAATTGGAAAAGTGTGAAATCGGAGTAACTGCACTCATTTTCACCCTCAGATCATTTATTCAGAAACAGCTTTGGCTCGTTTTAGTCGTAAACACAGAATGGGTGAGTAATGACGCTTTGTAAATGAGGCCTCAGGGCCTCTCCTGATGTGTTTTGCTTTATTCCATCCATCTCTTTCCCTCATCCATATCCTCCTGCTCTTGTTTCAAGCACTGACTATTAACCCCTTATTCTTTCTGTTTCTGTTCTTTTTCCTTGCCCATCCCCCAGATGTTGAGGAGGTGGAGAATCTTCTGTTCTACAACCTTCCCTCTCTGTGTTGTCGTCTGTCAGACTGGCCCTCTCTGCTGTGTGAAGCGCCGGGCCTCCAGCTGTGTGAATACAAAGGGCCGCGGGCCACCCAGTACTGTCTGGTGATAATGCTCCACCTTGCCCTGGAGCAGGGAGACAGGTAATGCGGTGCCTGGTATTATAAATTGTAAGCACTTGTGCTTGGTACTGCTGTAGAGCATCGTTCAGTGTGCTTCGTGAATCAATATGAAGAGTAAAATGTCACTGAACCTCTGTTCTTCATACCAGCGCTGTCGTTCAACCATCTGCACCGCTAGTCTGTGTATACACACATCAATCAAATATTAAAAACTGAAAATGAGATGAGACGTCTATTGGTGCTTCCAGAAATATTTGATCCATAAAGTGATCTTGAAAAAGGGTATTAATGTTCATATAATGACCAAACAAAGCAGTTATTGAACGTTTAATAACTTGAGAACATTTCTTCACAAAGCACCACTTTGCTGAGCAGAAAAGACAACATGTGAGCGACATCACAGTTGTTGAACAATGAAAATAGCCGACGATACCTGGAGTCATCAGACTCGTATCAGTGTATATCAGCAAACCAGCAGGTTTTGCATGTAGCTCTCTTCCTGTTCCAGCGGCCCACCGCGGGTGTTCTTAACTACATATTTTATGACCTCTGAGAGTCGTCGCCCTCTTTGGAAAGTTTAATCTGTCTCTGGATGAAAGCCTCTCCCCACCACTGTGTGGTCTCATCTAGATTAATGGGAGCCGTGTCAACAGATTTACATAGCGTGGGAGGGCTGAGTGTGTACTCAGGGGGAGAGGATCTGTGGATGTGCGTGTGTTTGTATACATCCTGACCGTCTGTGTTTGTCTCTGTGTGAGAATGAGACATACCAAGTGTGGGACATCAACACGGCCCTGGAGCACTTTATCCGCTTTGCACACAGAGTTTGCGTGTTTGTCCACTTGATGACCCTCACGCTGACTGTGACCGTATATGTGTGTGTCTGCGTGTTTGTGTGCATTCAAATGTAAACGCTTGGCCACATATACTTGTAATAATAATGTCTTCTTTACTGTGCACGTGTGTGTGGTCCAGACTCCTCCCAGACCCGACGGTGTTCTCCAGTGTGATGTGGCTGTTGCATTCGGTGCAGGCGCACGGCAGCAGTGCTCTGCCTCGCTCCGTGCTCCGCTCTGCCCTCTACCTGCTGGCCGTGACGCAGGACAAGAGCCCCAACCTGGACGGGGTAACTACGATCAGTCCGATCAGAACACACTCTGTAACCAACAAAAGTAGCACAGTAGATAAATGGCATCAAGCTACAGTTAAAGAAAAGCTTAAACTGTAACACCTGCTGGAACATTTCAGTATCTTTTACAATTGAATATATAAAACTTGTCCAGTGAGTCAACCTAACAACATGAAGGGAAGTCCTCAAGACGTATTGGGCGAGAGCGGTTTAACAGAAGCACCGCTACATGAAGGTGTCATTAAGATGAAGGTGTGCAGAGAGTGAAAACAGCATTGAGCTGGAGCCAGAGTTCTGCACGGTTTAATAAGGAAACCATGAATGTGAAGGACACGCTTCACTCAGAAGCTCGTATTCATCTTTTGACGTAAAATCCATATTCTGCTGTACATGATTCAGCAGCAACAAATATTAATTATAGCTCACCCTCTTTTTCAAATGCTACAGGACAAATTATGTTTTCGCAAAATCATGTACTTCTATTTAGTTCAAAGTACATCACATAATACTTAAAAGCAGTGTGCGAAATACTTGAAACGTGAGACCCCCTGAAAACCTCAACAGCAAAGGTTTTGAGGGGGTCTCTAGAATATTAAAAATAATAATTTTGTCGCAATTGTCCCTAAAATGTCCATTTAACAGCTAAGTCTACTATGTCCAGCTGGATTCATTATTCAAATTAACAACATTTATTCACAAATTTTAATAGTGAGTGCCAGTAAAGATATTTCGCTGTAAATGCCAGACAGAGCAGACACCAGAGCCGGTTCTCACTTCTGTTTGTGGACCTAAAATGACCCCATTTGGTCAAATTTGATCCATTGTCGTTGGTGAGAACCTGGATTAAAGCAGGACACTGAAGAGGCAGAGCTACGGTCTGTGTGTTGTGAGTGTGTGAGTGTGTGCGCGCTCGCGTCGTGTTAAAGCACAAGAGGCGAGTGTGCTGTGTGGATTCTGTTGAAGGACATGGTTGTTACATGGTTTTATAGGAAGTCACCTTATTGTTAACATTATCCTTTGTGATGAGTTGTTTAAGGCTTGTACAGTAAATTGCCTCAGTGTGTATCGATAAAATCTTTTATATTGCTTATTGAGTCTGGAGCACTAGGGCGGACATTGCTGAATATTATATACTATGAACATGTATAAGCACTAGATTACAGGAGACTTCCTGCTGTGACTGAGGGCTCAGCCTCGGGGGGGGGGGGGGGTTAAAAGCAGGCTCATATTTTGGAGACAGGGCTTTAGCTTATTGAATCTGTCTTTACCAAACCCCACTCAAGGCTTCTCTGAACTGCATCAGCAAGACGCTCTCCTCCTGCCAAAGCTTCCCCTCCCTCTACATGCACCACCCTGCACTCCTCCACTTCATCTGGCGATATCCGGAGCTAGAAGAGAAATACGGAGCCCTGGTCCTGGAGCTCTGGTTGACCAAGCAAGCTCAGCACAGAGATGCAGAGCAGACCACGGTAAGGGGACAAATGTTTCCCGTCTATCTCAGACTCACAAGGATTCTAATCTGTGACACTTGTGTGTGACACAGAAACAGGAAACTGACTCAGTGCTTCATCTCTTTTCTTTGTCTCGGGTAACATGTATTCATCAATAACTTATAGTAGTGATTTGATTGAACAGGCTTTACTTAAAGTTAGGGTGGGTAATGTATTCTAGAATTAGTTTTTGTTATATTTGTTGAAATTCAGCGATCAATAAATCAAATGCACTGAAGACAAGAGAAAACAAAGGAGCATCTGTGGCTGTCGCAGGTTGTAATAAGCCCATCCAATAATTCCATACGGGCAGAATTAAATGATCGTTCTCTCTGCCTACCTGCCACCAGAGTCTTATCACAAGCTGCTAGCTTTACAGCTGTTAGTAGTAACACTAGCCATGTTTGTTGTTTATGTTCATTGTGATCATTTTGGGAGATCTATGGGAGGCCTGAAGGGACGGGCCGTCAGTGTTTGCCAACTAGGCAACATTCTCGCCACATATATCAGCATTTGGAGCTGCTTTCATTGGAAAACGGTTGGCAACACTCGGCTGTTTGTTTTTTCAGTTGGCTAATTATAAGAAATGCTTACGCTGGTTTCTCCCAATGTTACCCATCCAAGCTTTAATTTCACTTTAACAGAGTTACTGTTAGAGTTGCATTTTGTTATGTTTTTGTTTTTAATTCCCTTTGAACTCCGATGAATAAGAATTGATGAAAAGGCGGTTGTGTTTCCTGACTGTGTACAGGAGACGGGAGAGAAACCTGCAGACGAACGACAGGATCAGCAGCCGGACACGGAAACTGTGGAGCTGCTGACTCTGATAGAGAAGTGGCCATCTGTCATGTTGACCCTCCTGGTGAAAACTAGAGACCCCAAACATATTTCTAAATGCTGCCTTATGTGCAGCACCGTGAAGCAGTAATAAGACTCGGGTCTCATAGTTTGTGGAAAACGCATATTTGTCTTTAACCTGTATTCAGTACCGCTTTACAGTGTGAGGACAACACTGGTACACAAATATATTCTCAATCGGTCTGTCCTAAAGCATCTGTCTGTCTGTCTGTCTGTCTGTCTGTCTTGTCTGTCTGTCTGACTGTCTGACTACAGAACATGGTTTGCAACAGGGAGGCCATCCTGGCAGGACGAGCTCTGGCAGTGCTGGAAGTTGTTCTTCGTGGTCAAAGAGACTATGAGGCTGACTTGTGTGCACATCTCAGGCCAGCCCTGCTGCAGGCCTTACAGAGGCTCAGCGTGGACAACATGGGCCACGGGCTTGGACAGGGACACACTGCACAGGGTGAGAGACATAAACACACAGAATACATATATTTTTAGACGTAATATAGAAATACCTGTTGCATCCCCAGAGAACAAATACATTGTGGCAAAAAACCTTTGCAGAGTTTAATGCAACTGTCCCGTAGCTCAAGTTTATTAAAATAGATGAGATGAGATTCACCATAATGGAAGATACCAGGAATAATGATACACTGAAGTGTTACAATATACAAATGTGTATTCGGTGCCAGGTTTTGCTGCTTGATAGCTTTTATAGTTTGGACCTCTGGCTTGGCCGTTTGTACCAGAGACAGTGCTGGCTGCATGTGTCCTCTCTGGCGATAAATAGAATATGAATGACAGTGAGTTTGGACATTGCCACTGAAACAGGGTTGAAATGTAACTGCCACTCAATGGATAACTGTTGGTTGTTGGCTGGTGAGTGAAGCACATCGAGCAGCCACTTGCATATTTTACCAGCGTTTGGCTGCAAATTGCAAATTTTGGCTGAAAATTGCAAAACATGTGTCAATGGCATACCAAAAGCATACATGTTAATTGCATTAAGCAAATTTGTAGAAATTGTTAATAAATGTGCTGAAATGTGAATTTGTGTTTGTTTCACATTTTAAATTCCTCATATTACTCCACAAACTTGATCTGAGTGAGCCGACAAATGACAAATAATATGAAAATAACAATTTCCAGACTCTGCAGTAAATCATCTATAAAGTCACGTGCATGGATTAATAAATCCATTGGGCACAGTCTTCTTTTGCAACATAGTGGAAAGCACTGAGTTTATTATTCTCACTGTGTCCACTTATGATCGTCGGGTCATTCTCCGTGCCAACATTTTCTTGCTGATGGTTCTAACAGCCGTTCAAGTTACACTAAATGAATAAAGACGTAATAAAAGGTGGGCTCATTACGGTCACATACATAACACAACTATTCATCGTCTTACTCAAGGACACTGTTCAGAGCTCGTTTATAGGTAGACAATGTGCCGGTGTTGTTTCTTTCTGCTGTTTATCCGGGCGAGCTGGTTTAACTGAAGTGTAACCACAGCGGCTCCCTCAGATCGTGGTTGTTTTTAAATTGGATTGAAATGGAAAACAGGTCCCAGAACACTTGTCGCTTCTGATTAATGTTGGAAGGGAAGAAGCATTAATCCTCCGTTAAGACAGATCCTCCGAACATCCTTTTGTCAGTACAGACGGTGGGCAATGAGAGACTTGTTTATCTAGTTGACTCTCCTGCCGGAAGTGCATATTATTGATTTAGTTGGATCTGTTTGCATGAGGTTACTATTAAACACTGCTTTTGTATTCTTATGAGAAGAAAACAGTGTCTGCTTTGTTTCAAGCTAATATTAATCCTACGTTTCAGTATTCAGATATTATAAACTAATCAGGGGAAGTGGAAATATTCAAAGACATTGGTTTAATCAGACGAGTGCAACATGTTGTGTCTTGTTAGTAATGTGCAGTATTTGTTAGATCGTGTCATAAAAGAGACAGTGTTCATGTTTACCGTCAAACATCAGACAAAACTCTTCTTGTAAAAGGAGATTACAATTAATTAGAGTTTCTTCTGAATCATACATTTGACAACAGATTAGTAAAATGATAATACAGTATGATCTTGTCATCGCAATACAAGTTCCCCGAAAAAGTTATTGATTGTTACAAACTAATAAGGAGATTTGGGTGAAACTTTTAAAATGAAACCTTCTAAAGAAGTAACAAAAAACCTGAACAAATCTGTAAGGGTCCAAATGAGGCCAGGTTTGAACCCTCCTTAAAAGGGTACAATTCCCACGCGTGCATATCTGTTGCTTTTGGTCGAGGTTTCCCACCAGATGGTGTTCTTACGTCTTGTCTACTTGACCAGGTTAATGAGCACAGCTGAAGGGCACAGCACCAGGCTGCCAGCTGGGGATTCAGGAGCTGTTGCTGTGGTTGGCCTCTGCCTGCTTCCTGCTCATCACGGGCCCTGAGGGGAATACACACCGTTATCCGTGCATGTGGTCCAGTTCAGCCCACTTTCATTTGCATTAATATATACTTTATATTAGCCTCTAATGCAGCAGGCATTCCAAGGGGAGGCATATTTTAATGTGATGCACTACGGTGGTGAAAGTCGTGCCTGATCTTCCTGCAGTCGGCTCCTCGTTGGAGTACTCCCTCTCTTTGTCTCCTTTCACCTCGTCTCCCTTCTTCACGTTCCATCTCTCCTTTTTCTTACTCCCTCAGCCCATTCTGGATTCAGACCCGGAATATAGTTATTTAAGATGTGCATGGTATTTTGTTATATTTCTGAGAAAGATGTGCTGACTTCTTCTTCTTCTTCTCGGCTCCTCTTGATGATCACTGTGTGCTCGTGCTACACCCTGTTCGTAGACCAGAACTTCAGAGTCCACCAGCTTCTCTTCTGTCGTTGTCAGTTTTAATGTCCTCTTCTTTGACTTAACTGAAAACTACTGTGTGAGCATCAGGTTTCAGACTCAGTGATGTCTGCGTCACTCCCTCATCCTTGTCTCTCTCACACCAACACACTGTGTTTTTGTTTGTTTTTTCCCTCACAGTAATTTTTACTCTCATATATATATGTAATCTGTCCCCGTCTCTCTGTGATCTTCTACACATCTGCACTTACGGTCGTTCTCTGTTCCTTTCTCCCTTTTGTTTAGCAGTGAACTCACTCCCTCTGGTGCTGAAGCTGCTTTGTGCGACGCAGGCCAGTGACCCGCCTTCATCTTCCTCCTACAGCAAGATGGACGGAGTGCACTTCAAGCTGCTCTATCACGGTGAGGTCAAAAGGCAGGTCATTCTGAGCAAAACCCCGCCCACAGCCCTCTCCATTACCACACACAAACAGCTACACATTGTTTACATGTGAGGCACGCAGCCTGCATTCGAGGCAGAAGATGTTTGCCACATTACAGCCCAGACACACACATTGTCTGTAACACACTCACTGACAACACACACACACACACACAATGCATTTAGCTCTCTGCAGTCGTAAACACAGACTACTTAAACACCCTTCAGTATGTTCCTCACTCACACAGGCACTTCCAGACTCCATTACAGACACATAACCATCTCGTAACAGCACTAAGACATAACTCTCCATTCAACACCTGTTTCCGTTGTCTCACCTCCCTCCGCATTCACCTATATTCCTTTTAAAGTGGAGGCATCGCTCATTCTTTATTTAGTATCCTCATCAGCGGGGGAGTGCTCGCTGCTGATCTGCAGATGAAAATGCCGTTCAGAAATTTACTAGACATGTCTGGCAATTTGTAACTCTAAGCGCGTTATGATTAGAATCGCATTTGCGTTTCTCTGTGCCTCGATGTCAATGCGGCCTCGTCCCTCTGTGACTTGTGTTTTCTCGTTTTGTGTGGGTAGTTCTATTTTCCAGCTTCTCATCTTTTCGATACATATACCGGCAGATCAGATTAATTCAGTCTTTACCGGCCGGTGGGAGACACGACGTTGACAGGCAGTAAATGTTTGTCTCTTTTACGTCTCGTCATATCGTGTCTCGGTGTCTCTCTCGTCTATTTGAGAGCGCTGCAGATAAAATACCAAGTGAGGCGTCAGTATTGGACGTGTGTGTGTGTGTGTGTGTGTGTGTGTGTGTGAGTGTATTCCAGTGAGTAATATCGCAGGGAGGTTGAAGCCGACCGACACGGGAAGTCTGCTACCTGCCCTCAGCTACCTGTACTGCTGCCTGAGTCTGTCCCCAGCACACTGCACTGACAGAGGTTAGATACACTATTCTTCTTGTCTCTCTATCTCCTCGTTAGTTTTTTACTCTCCCCCCTTTTCTCTCCCTCCCTCTTCACCCTCTACCTCTTTCTGTCTCGCTCTCTGTTCCAATTTGTCTCTTCTTTTGCCCTGTTTTATCAGAGGCGAGAGGCTGACCTTGAGCAGCATGCAGCATTGAGACACAGAGGAAGTAATGAGCATAAAAGCTGCTGAACATCATTACATAACGGCACACAGGATGCGGCCCAGTCCTGCACATTGTCTTGTACACTTAAAGTCGGAGAGCTTCTCACACATTTGCAGAAGATCCCGACAAGAGCTCAGGGTTGTGTTGTTGCCTTGCTAAACCTGAATGTGTGGAACGCGTAGACAAAACCACACATGCAAACACAAACATGCACCCACCCACACAGTAACATGGTCAGTAGAGATCAGAGATCTCAAACACACACACAATGTCAGAAGGGTGGAAACAACCAGTTTATTTTGATTTTTGCACGTACTAGAAAAACAACAGATTGAGTTTAAACAATTCATTATACACAGAAAACCAAAAAATCACTCCTGCTGAATCCCACAGAGCTGATGCAAAATTAAAACCAACGATTCAAAAATACAGAAGAAATAACTCCACTGTGGTCGAGGAATTAAGACATGTTCAACTGCCTCTCACCAAAGACATCAATCATTTGAAATGACATGTTGATTGCTCTTGATTTTATTACAAGCTAAATAATTAATAAAATAAAACTCACCAGCAATGAGCTGGTTTGTAGTTAATAAGGTGAGGCGAGTGTCCAGAGAGCCAGCGTGCCTTTGGGAAGCAAAGCTAATTATGCCCAAAGCGTTGCTTTAATGCTTCCTACCTTCGCCGTCTGCTTCTTCATCACTCGTGGTGAGTTTACAGATGTAAGTCACATCAGCCCCAGGCGAGATGTTCCAAAAGACTTGTTCACCATGAACACGATGTGAAAGTGAGTGAGCACTCAAGTGTTGGCCTGTTTGTGTGTGTGTGTGTGTGTGTGTGTGTGTGTGTGTGTGTGTGTGTGTGTGTGTGTGTGTGTGTGTGATTGTGCCTAAATGTGTTTTCAATGTGACAAGTTTCTCAATTTGTAATGTTTCACAGAAAAGTGTGCATGTGTGGTTGCCTGCAACATGTCACCATGCAGTCATCCAGACCAACTGTTATACTCTCTCTCTCTTTCACACACACACACATGCAAGTGCAAATCCCATCAAAGTGTGATGACACAGCGCTTTGTCCTCCCCAGCTGTCTCCGTGCTGCTCTCCAACAGTGGACTGATGGACCAGCTGCAGATGGTCTCCTCCTCCTCCTCCTCCTCTACTCCATCCCTCTCTCCATCAGCCTGTCCTCCTTCAGCCCTGCTGTGCTGCAGCCATCTCCTCCTGTCCTCCCTCATTACCTTGCAGCGCGTTCACTCTGCTCAGGTACACACTCTGCAGCTCAGCTCTGCTCTTATCACAACTTCCATGGAGAAGTTAACACACAGATGTGAACACTGAATACAAAACACTTAATGTGATCTGCACATATCACAGCTGGGACAAAACAATGCACTTTCTTCTCTGCTCTCTGCTTGCCACTGCAGTGTTAATACATTCTAACATGCAAATGATGTGTTTTAATTTGTTATTCTTCTCTCTCTCTCTCTCTTGTTCTTTCTCCCTCTTTTCCTCCATTATTTAAGGTCCAAAAGAGCATCAGCTGGAGTCTGGACACAGCTGTGCAGCGACTCCTTTTTCAGAAAAGAAACACGGACAATCTCTTGCTGGGTAACAGACTCTGAATGTTATTTGATGATTCTTTTTAAAAGACTTGACAGCAGGTACCAAAACAGTTCATCGGCAATGCCAGTGCGATGCTTAAAGCGAGTGTGTGTAACCTGAGAGCACTGACGGGATTTTGTGCTCGGTTCCCCGTTTTCTCTTTTCCCCCCATTTTGTTTTTGTCCTCCCAGTTTTCTCTTAATCTCTTCTCAGCTTCATCCTTTCTGAGTTGTTGTGCTGCTCAGTTTTACACTGTCCAGTGCCATTACAGACACTAAAGACGCCTCGGTATACGTCAGTAGAGTTAGGATCAGATTTGGAGGTTTTCATCCCTGAGCGACTGTCCGTATACTGTGAGAGCTTCAGAGTAGACTAATGAGGTTCACCTCCAATTGGTTTCCACGTACTCCTCCACCGCAGGTAAAGTGTCTGTTAACGCTTTATCCTCAGCATGAATTTCACACACTTTAATTATATTAAGTGGCCCACATCTCGCTGCAGCACTCGGAGACAGATCATCCCTGCTGCTCCTGTGTCTGTCAGCTGGATAAGTGGTCTGTCAGGGTTGCTGTGATGTATCGGCTCCCTCTCTCTCTCTCTCTCTCTCTCTCTCTCTCTCTCTCTCCCTCTCTTCACTCACTCAGCCTCCAAGCATCCCTCCCTCTATCTATGTGCTCTGTCTCTCCCCCTCTCTTCTGCTGCCACTAATTGAGTCCTCCCTGCGAGAGCTCTAAACTCAGTGTACATGGCACGAGTGCAATTCAGATGGCTGGCAGCTCTCAGTCGGGAGCCCTCTGTGTTTTAGCAATCACTCTGGCCTTGTCTCTCTCTTTATCTCAATCGCTACACTGGTCTGTCAGTCTCTCTGACCTTCCTCCAACCCTGTATGTCACTGCCTCACACGCTCCCTCTCTCTCTGTCACGTATCGGTTCAAAAGAAATGGCCTTCAATGCCTTTCGACTGTTAACTCTGCCTCTCGTTTTATTCCCTCTGCTTCTTGCTTTTCACATCTTTTTTCTTGCTCGCTCCTTTCGGTTCTACTGTGAACCTGTTTCTCTCGTGGCCTCTTTTCTCATCTTCCTCTTGCTCTCCTGTGTGTTTGGGCATTTCATCTCCTCCCTCTCCGTTTTCCAGCCATTTACCAGTCCTCCTTTCTTCTCATATATCTCTCTCTCACTCTCTTTGTCCAGTCAGCTACCTGAGGTTGCTACAAGCTCTCCTCGATGCTGACCTGGCGTCAGCAGTGGTGCGTCTGACGACGGGTCCCGGCCTGGTGGGGCCCAGACCTCTGGGGGTCGAAGATGGTGCTCTGTACCCGCTCGGCTCCGGAGGAGCCCAGTGCCTCTCGACTGCTCTCAGCGGACTTCTTTTGCAGGTTGAACTCCTTTAGACTTTAACAACTTAAATGTGCTTGGGGGGTATTGATCTTTGTGTTGGTGTGTGTGTTTGTGTGTACGTGAAGGTACGTGCGAGCACACCGTAGGTGAGAAAAGGAAACTGAGAAAGAGATTTAGGGCAAAATGGGTTATTGGAGACAGGAGAAACTCTCCATTAAAGGGGATATATCTACTTTTTTGTGATTTTTCTCTCATTTGTATAGTGTTATCATTTTGGATGAGCATGTTAAATATCGTCAAACTTACAAAACTTAAAGTGATGCATGAAAAAATGCTCACTGCAAGACAAAATACCAAAATTCAGCACGCATTTTGCAGCATTGGAAGAAGTACTCACATCTTTTACCGAAGTCAAAGTGAAAAAGTAAAAGTATTGATACAGTGTAGAAATACTCTGTTACAAATGAAGATCCTTCAAGTATTAGCATCAATATAAACTTTTAAGTACATAAAGAAAAGAAATACCAAAAAATAAAAGTATTCATTCTGCAGAACGACCTGTTTCATATCATTTTAAATTATGTTATTATTATTATTATATTGTAAAATTAATGTAGTGGAGTAAAAGGTACAATATTGTCTTCCAAAATGTAGTGAGGTATAAAGTAGCACAACATAAATGGAGCAAAAGGAAAACAGAAATATGAACCTGAGAATGAACAGGATATGAACCCTGACAGCTAAGTTATAGTATATAGAGCTACACACTCAAACACATGTCGGTACAGATAGCTCAGTTGTTTCTGCTGTTGAATCATCTTAAGGGCAATATGGATTTTTCATTAAGAGACGCAATATAATAGTCTGCTCTAGGGATGCCATCGCAACATTTCATTTCTCATATTTCTCGTTGGCGGAGGCAGCAAGAGCGGAGAACACCGATGGGAAACTCAGTGTGGTAATAATGCACGGTGCAGTGCGACCAGATGTGTTGTTTTTCACTGTGTTCACTTAAATTCCATAAAATGTTCTTTGTCCTGTTCGAGCATTAACGTAATGGTGGCTTGATGGACAGAGGTACAGAATGAAGAATGTAGAGTTATTCTAATGAGGTGCTGACCCGCAGGTAGACATCGGGGAGCAGAGCTACACACTCATGACTCTAATGCTGTCTGGATAACATTATGTAGAGAGATGTTGATTTAACGAATTATAAACAATCAGTGTGCAAATCTGTCCTCATACAGATATTCATAACAGCAGTGGGGCTTAGACGCTGATATGCCGATGCCTACCGCCTCTCGCTTTACTGTCACTCCACCTTTCATTCTGCAGCAGAGACATCGAGGTAGTCTGTGAGATCTTAACAGCGTGACATTGAACCTGCTCGTCACAAACAAGCTTGTGCAGAAGATGAGATTCCCATTGATTTAGTGGTTAGCATAATGGAATGGCACACATCTCCAGAGCAATCCCTCAAAGTTATTACATGTAGCCGCTGTATTGACTCTGGTTGTTTATTAGAGGCTGACTGGTGTCTCGCCAGCAGTCGTTTGACAATAAACAGTTGAAGCGCTACTTCTCCTGTGTGGCAGCCGGCTCAGCAAGAACCGAAATAGTCCAAAATATCAGTCATCCGGTGCACAGGATAAGGCAGCAGGCAGAGCCTTTTATCAGAGCTGTGCACAGAACGAGAACACATGTTGATACTTGACACGCGGAGCTTTGATACCACAGTTGTCTCAACCTGGTAATTCGTAATGATGAAAGCTCCAGCATCACAAGACACCGAGGCACTGTACTGCACATAAAGATGACGCACTCGAAGGCTCTATCACACGATCTAGTGTATTGACCGCTACCTTTACGGGCGTCGCTTAACGGCCGAGTCTCAACAGTCGCACAATAAAGGATGCACTGTTCCTGTATTACTGGATCCAACAGATTGGGAATCAATGAATCACGAGGCTTGCAGGACTTGTGAGCAGCTCCGGTACCGATGGTGCTGATGCATTTTTTACAATGTCCATAGAACGGCAGGAAGATGCATCTTGAACAAAGCTCACTTCTGACACGCATTCTGCATGAAATGGACACGAGAGTTAAAAAACATCAACATTGAGACAGTGTTGATGGTTTGACTGTTGGTGCTTTCACAAAATAATTACAAGACGAGATATTTGATGAAACCACCTAACCCTGATCATCGATAATGTCAGAGTGAGTAAATGCAAATAATAGAACAGCTAGAACAGTCTGGTAAGTTAGAAAGTTACATCACTTTACTGTAAAACCAGGAAAGAACTACACTTATTCCATATTACGATATCTAAAATCTAAGACGATATCTATTCTAATATCACGATATCAATCATCGATATCTTGCTCAGCCTTAGATTCAAGACGTGCTGGACTAAAGAGCTTTCTTGGTCACATACGTTTCTTCTCCCATTGACTTAATCTTTAGGAATATAATTTTGTGTTGGAGATGAAGTATTCCTACAGACACTGATGTCTAAAACTGTCATAATGTATTTGTTTAGAGCTTTATCCTAGCAGTGCTGGTCATTTTGACTAACGAGGATGAGCACATAAAAAAAGCTGTGAGTGGAGGCTGTAAATTTACACCAGTGTTCAGTAATTTAGAGTTTAGATTGACAAGTTTGACTCAACAGATAATCATCAAGATAGCTGTGATCTAGAGCTAAATGATTTGTTTTGCCACAGTATCGCAGTGGCGGGTCATTAAAACACAAATGTGTTAAAACCATCGGCGCGGGCGGTGAGAGGTCATCAAAGCGATGTCTGAACCGGAGGAGAGGTGTCTCGAGTTGTGGAGGGAGGCGGTGTGGAAGCCTGCCATCTATCCCAATGTGTAATCAAATAACCTGCAAACGGCTCCCGCTAATGAAGTGTAACACCGCTGGGCTCATTCTGACGCTCATTTGCATGCAAACTGCAACCGTGTTGTTGAAACTCGGCTCCTCCGCTGCACCGGCCAACACTGCACCATATGGTTATAATAATGACTTAATAAATTAGTAACAATGCAGATACCAGCTCTAAAGTTAATTAGCAAGGCGTCGATCACGACGAGTAAACAAAGACGCCAACGTGCACACTTGCAAGAAGACATATTTATATTTGCGAGTGTGACAATCTTCAGATGGGGTGGATGAAATATGGTAGCTGAGGGGTAATTATGTGTTATGCATTTCTTTTCCTATCCAGTGCCTGTGTTGCAGCCTGCCAGCCTCTGGTTCCACACCAGTGGCGTTTCTTCTCTGTGTAAAAGACTTTAGTGGTGAACGGAGCTTCCGCTCTACGGTTCAGTGCTCTGTAGTCTGCTGTTCGACTGCTGATAGGGAGTAACACCTCCCTCCTCTGTTTCCTCTTGATGCTCTGGTTTGGCAGCAGTAGGAAACACTGCGGCTCCTCTCCTCTACTGTCTCTCTCCTCGCCTGCCCTCTCACCTCTATTACCTTCACCTCCTTCGCTCTCTCATCCCCTCCTTTCCTCTCCTGTCTCCTCTCCGCCGTCGTCTATATATCCGCCTTGGCCTACTTCAGTATTTTTGGACACTACATGGTGCTCACTGTGGGAGAGACATGCATTATTAAAGCCTCACTCGGTCGCTCTCTCCGGTGTTCCCTTGCTCTCCCTTCTGTTTCTGGGTGCAACTCGTAACAGCACGCGTGTTTGTGTCCATTGTGTCTACATAACATTCCTCCAACGATCTGACATTTGTGAGCTGGAAGATGTTCTTTCCTTCTCCTCTTTTTTTTTTTTTTTTTATTGTGTACTCTGCTCCTCTCTCATGTTTCCACCTACCAGCCTCTCCTTCTCTCCTCAGAAGCACGAGCTGTTGCTGAGAGCCTCAGTCAACTGTCTGAGCTCCCTGCTGGGCTTCCTCCAGAGGAAGAGTCCCACTGCAGGTACCAGACAGGGAGACAGTGAGGGAGAGAGGGAGTGTGGGTAATCTGTGCATGTGCGCGTGTGGGAGAGAGATGAAAGCTGATGTGTATGTGTGCTAGTATTCTCAGGTATTATTCTATCTCATGTTATCTCTGTCTTCAGCACTGTAGCATGCACGTTTCTTTTGTTTTTTACACGCCTGCTGTATGTCATCAACCATAAACCATTTTCATTAAATGTACCAACGAATTAGATCGGAGTTCGACATTCCTAACTTGTCACTTTCTCTCTCCCCCCCTGGGTGTGTTTTCTGCGTGTTAGAGAAGTACGTGGCGTGTCAGCCGTGGAGTCGATTCCTCGTCTACTGCCTGCTCAACTCAGGAGAGAGCTCCCGTCTGCACCCTGCCACTCTCAGCCTTATCACTATAGTGAGAGGCTTTACACACGCACACACACACACACACACACACACACACACACACACACACACACACAGCTCAACTCAAATCAAGTATAATTTATTGGGCATGGTTCTGAGCAGTAATACATATTTGATATTAATATAAAAAGTTAATGAAGGTAATGAAAACATAAAAGTGGTCGGGTGTTTGGATCGCATGAGTAGTGAGAGTGAATATAGTACAGTGTTATGGAGGCTGACAGTGTGCAACACATGGAAATTAAAGAGATATTACCATATTTTGTGTTGTGAACTGAGGCTCTGAACATTTTTTATTTATTCAGTAAAATCAGGGGAGGAACTTTTGATCATCTGTAACCCGTCACATCCAAGGGAGCAGCAATCATTTCTGGGAGAATACATCATCCAACAAAAGTAGTTTTCGGGACATGCTTATTTGAGAAACAAATATTTGAGAATTGATGTCGAGTCTCTGCACCTTTCACACATATTTGCGTCTTTAAAAAATGATAGCAGATTTCAATTTTGCTAAACCGCCCCTCACTGCAACTCCATCAAGCTACCATGGAGCCCACACTGTCACTAACTGTGACTGTATCTTTGAATGCATATTATCACATTTTCAAAAAAAATGTAAGAAGCTTTTTCAGAGTGAAGCAGACAGAAGGGTCTACAATATGTGGATTTATCCAGGATGTCAAACTGAGTCCGCAGAGATAACAGGTTAAAAGGGTTAAGATAGCAGCTGGAGCTACAGAGCACCACATCACCAGTTTACCTACAGTAGCTAGCATAGCATAGACGTGCTGATGCTATTGAATGATGTACGAAAATACACAGGTTGTTTTATGTGGAAACATAACATAACTTACATATCCTTCCAAAATCTCCAGGTAACGAGTATCGCTGTAGCACGACGAGCTCCAAATCCCCCCAAAAAATCTCCAATGCTGCGCTATGATTGGCCAGTCTGCATTCAAGGGCGGGACTTAACGAATGGTCAATTGACCCCTACATAATCCACAATATCCCATCACTTCAAAAGAAAAACATGTTCATTGTCACCTTGATTCTTTATGCTCTCCTCTTTATTTCTACGCTCCTCTTCTACTGTTTTACTTTCCTCACTCCCCTCACTGTAGTCCTCCCATGTACAGTAGGTTAATGACTTCATATCTGCACGATCGTGCACTCTTGACGTGGTGCTCGTGTACTCTGCAGCTCCTGCAGCACGGCAGTACTTCAGTGCTGTGGGAGCCTGACCTGCTGCAGGTGATGGAGGCGGTGGAGAGGAGGGGGCGGGAGGTGCTCGGTGAGGAAGCGGCTCAGTCCCTGAGGCTGCTCCTCTCACAGGTACACACACAAACACGTATGCTGACACACACACACACACGCAGAACAAGTGATGGACACACTCACAGCGATAGACTTATCGTCCCGTTACGCATAAATATCTACATTCTTTGAATAAATGAATTAGAAAATAAATCAAGTTCAAACTAAGCTCCGTAACAGTCGGGTTCACGCTGGGTTTATAATACTTTGTGTTTTTCTGGTCCTGCTGTTCTTCACAGCGAATAAATGTTTATTTTTATGCAAATAAATTACCAGAATTTTTTCACAGAAGGACTGCAATAAGAAAGTGCCAATTTACAGCAGTAGCCTCAGTGTGGGACTTTATCATACTTCAGTCACACAGCAGTGACGGGGGGCGGGGGCTGTAGTTTAACGTTGCAATTGCAAAGACCGGTGCAAAGTGTAAGGTCAGAGGTCACCATAGGGGGTGTGGCTCAGTGGTGCTCGAGGCCTTTTGTCTGGTCTGTAGTCTGGAGCTGATGCCTCCTCAAAAACCAAAACTATGTCGCCTGACATGGAAACATCTCACACGCACATTCTGGCACTTTGCTCTCTCCACACCCCTCTTCCAACCATCATCAAAGGTGCATAATTCCCAAAATGAGAGCATTAATACAGCTACTTGCTCTGTAAAGATATAGCTGAGCAGAGAAGGACGTCACTGTGTGTTGTAACCCGGGCTTCTCTCAGCTTTGTTTACGTAGCCGGTCCTATCGCACCTGCATGCTGGTGCCTATGATTGCCTGTGCGCGTGGCCCACTGGCTCGCTAAAATCGCTGATAACGTAATAGCCGATCCCCACAAGTGTTAACACCGTTAGCTCTCTCAGCACTGTTATCGTGGTTTGCTCGGTTAGTGCTGTTCTCTTCATGCTGAGAGGCCACAGATCTGCTCTGATTTTGGAATCTAGCTCCTTTAATGGTCACCCTGATGTACACAAAGCAAAGAGCAGGTGCACATTGTATTTTATAATCATTGCCCCCTGATACTGTCGTGCTCTTGGGATGCCATACACCGGGGGGAAGTACTCGCACAAGAAAACATTTGCTTTAATCTTGGATATTTAACTCTGGGGCCTGTGATCATTGATTAATAATTTACACAAGAAATACAAAATAGAATAAATCAGCACTCCTAGTAGCTAACTAAAGGTTCAAGAAAAACAAAACAAACAAGCTTTCCTGAATAATCTGTGTCATTGTAATAGACTTATATATTAGCCTTAGCTTGCGTCTTGGTGTACATTCTTTCTCTCTTTCATTATATTGTGATTATTCCAGACTCAGCCCTCGGCACTTTAAGGCGAGCAATAGAGGCTGAGTATGGCCAAGACCTACAGTGGACCCAAACGGCTGGTTAGCTGTGAGGTGTTCAAGGAATAAATGCATAACTGCAGTCTCACTCAGTAGACGTTTTGTTGCTGCGGGTCATTTGTTTGAAGATGAATTCACACAGTCTGGTGTTGGATGTAAACACGACCACCCACAGATGTTAAAGAGGTTGTGTCAGTCTAAAGGCCTCTACTGGTTGGTGAATTATTAATTAAAACCGTTTTTTATAGGTTAATCTGCACTATTCTGTATATCCATCAAAGGTTAACTTTGATTTTACAAAAAGGGCAAACAGAGAATATGTATAAATCATTTTGTCCCTCAGTTGGGTTGCTGCTGTGCTCAGTCGTGATCGCAGCATTAACTAGTGATCAGCATCACTCGTTCAGATTGTCCCCCAGAAGAAACACGGTGCTGTGTGAGCCGGCTTCAGATGCAAGTATTCCCCGAGAAGATCTCGTTTCCGCATGGATTGAACACGATGAACTATGTCCTCGTCGTTACCCTTGTTAGCTTTGCGGCGGGTGCACAGAGCCCATCTGGGTTTTGCTTCGAGACGTTCTGAAACACGGAAGGAGCAGCAGCTGCATCAGATTGCCTCGCTCCAATTTGGCATCGCATGCTAGGACCTGAAGCACATTTAGCATTCTGAAAGTAGCTCAGAGTCAGAAGAGTGACAGAATGATGGCACGAACCGCAGCTCCCAGTGCAGCGAGCGCCAGGCAATCATAAACTGTGTGAGTGCGTGTGTAGGTGTGTGTGTGTGTGTGTACGACATCGATGCAGTTTAGGGGAGGCAGGGTTCAATGTGGCAGACTTCACTTAACGGTCGCTAGACAGTATGAGTTTACTCCCCTAACGTCTCCTCTGCTCCAATCTGTCAAACCATTGAACTCTGTCCATGAGCTCTGTTGATCTGTCTGTGGACTTCAGCCTCAGTCCACGAGGAAGCTCTCTGTGCACATCTGGCAGTGATCTGGTGTCGTGTCACTGTCTCGCTTCCTCCCGATGAGTTGTGACATGACTGTCAACTGAGAGTGTGTGTGTGTGTGTGTCACGGAGGCATGTACGAGCACACGATATGATACAAGCAAGCATGTGTGTGCATGCATGCGTCATTTGCTTTTGCAGCTTGAGCCCATGGCCATTTCTCTAACTACAGTTGTGTGAAAAAGTGTTTGCCCCCTTCGTGATTTCTTATTTTTTCAAACAAATTTAAATATTAGACAAAGATAACACAAGTAAACACAAA